TTTTCTGCATATTGTTTTCCAATCTACTTCTTGTCTGGCTAAAGACGCCTCTGGATGCGCTCTACGATTTTTGCTCTGTGTTTGTTTGTTTGCCTATGCACTGCAAGCCAGCGCACACACACACACGCACACACACACACACACACATACTCACACACACATACTCATACACACACTCATACACACACATCAACACCACATGTCAGCTACAAAAATAAACCCAAATGCAGCTATCGAGTGGCAACTGCTAAGCGGCTTCCCTGCCATTTGCCGTCCTCCTCCACGTCCTCACACCCCGCACACCATGACCTCTCCAGTTATTTCTAATTAAAGCGTAATTCTGTAACATAGTGTGGTACGAGCTGCTTACACCACGGTCCACTCAATTAGGTGCAGTACTTAAGCTTCAGCTTGACATTCACCAGATGTTGACAATAAAAAGACAAACTTAAAGAGCTTAGAATATTAAAAAGGTTTCCCTAACGCATGCTCGAAAGTTCTTACAATATATATTCTCTAAGCTATCACTGTGCCGTAAGTATACTCATGCTGAATATGCTTTAATTAAGGTAAGCTAGCGCAAGCCTATAACTGATGCACATCAAGCCTCAACCGGAGGCTCAAAGACTGACAAATTGCTCTAAATTTATGCTCATAATAGAACGCAGCATGCGGTGCTTATTTATGTGCGTATGTGTGTGTGTGTGTGTGTGCAGTTGCCACATCTGCCAGAAGCTGAGTTGCAACAATAGAACAAACAAGCCAGAGACAAACCGATGCGACATGCTCCCATATTTACATAGAGAATTGTCCAAAAGCCAACAAACGTGGCCAAGTCACGTTTATCGTCCACAGACGGCACAGCTCTTGAATCAGCTGCTCGATGTGTGGCCCCAGGCGGAAATTGAAAATCAAAATTAAGTTCTACTGCCTTTAAAGGGAATATGTAAATTAAGCACAAAAGCGCAAAAGTTTTGACAACTTTTCTTTGGAATTATTGATGAAAAGCCTTGCTGGGCTTTTCACTTTTCCAGCGCACCATTTTTGCCTTTTTAATATTTCTTATCAGTTATAGTTTCTTAAAGTGATGCCTAATGATAGCAATTTATTCACACTGCAGCTTGCAAAATAACTAGACTAAAAAAATTATATAAAAAGGAGAGCGAGTAAGAACATCTTCAACAGACCTTGATAGACATTTCCCACTGGCAAATATGTGAAAAGAATAAAGCTCGTAAATGCAGAGTTGAATGCAAATATCTCGCAAAAAAAAGAAGAAGGCCTTAGAAGGACCTACTTTTATAATGCTTATATGTTGGGAGCATAGCAAAACATATAAATGCCGAGATTGATCCAGAAATCAAAGTTTCAAGACGATATTTTTACAACTTCCCATTAAAACAGACAGTCGGACAAATATACTTTATGAGGTCGGAAATATCATTACAAAACTTATAAGACTATCTACAAGGGTATACATTTTGGAAAAGCTTACGCATTTTTCTAAAATTTTAGCTAAAATGGCGTATTAGTATATTTTTCAGATTCTGACATTAGGCCTTCAATATTTTTAAATGTCTCACTAAAACTTAAGATCCTTAGTTTCTATAATAACCTCATCAAATATGTTCCACTTTATTTCACATAAGCAAGACAACAAAATTAATTGTCAATAAAAAACTGTTTTCTAGAAATTTGGCAAAAAGTCATTAAAATTACGTTCGATCTACAAACTCTGGTCTCATGCAAGTAGAAATCGATGCTCACAAACAAAAATTCAAGGCATTGCAATTATGTTAGCAATTTGTGCTTGCAGTCATGACAAATACTAATTAGAAATGTGCATAAATTTGGAATTATAATCGTTATAAATGTGCTTAATTATATATGGATAGATAAATAGCTACTCCCAGCACAGTTGAGTCCTCAGATGTGTGCGGATATTCATTTAATTTTATATGCATCTGTGTGCTCTAAAGTCGGGCATTTCATTTTGCTGTGTCGGACTTTTGGAAACTTAGTAAATCATTTTCTAGCTATTTACCAAAAGTCCATTTGAGTTGCAGCTTGCAATTCGGACCTGTCAAACTTGCGGCTCTGAAACACACATACACACATATGTATTTTATTTATCTTTCTGCAAGTTTTAATTATATTTTCGGTGCATATAACACATACGGCCCGTTGTGCAAGGCACAATTTATGGCAATTTATACAATTTATTGCAATTTATGCATTTTGCTCAGCCATTTCTTTTCGAAAATTCAATTAAATTTATGTTACGGCCATTCATCAACGAGTCAGTTGGGTATCTTAATAAAAAGGTATGCATATTAAACAAATATCAAATGCCAACACTTTTAATTCGTTTGCTTTTGCTTTATTATTTTAGTTTATTTTTACGAGCTGGTGCACAATCGGTTGAATCAAGTTAGTTTAAAAGTCATTTGCAATTACGCAAACTTTTAACTATTTTCAAAAGCCCACAAATAATCCTCGTTTGGCCACAAACGAAGCATTGGGACCGCCTGTTGGTTCGGCCCAACTCCGTTTGCCTTTTTAATACCCTGTACATCGTGAAAGGCATCTCCGACCGTTAGTAAAAATCAAAAAGTACACCAAATGCAGAAAAACTAAATTTTTAACTTTCGATAACCTTAACATTTTTTCCGGAATAATTATCTAATTTTAGCCCAAGCTTCTCAAGCATTTCTTAGAAATTATAGATTCTAGAGATACAAGACTTCAATAACTCCCTCGCTACCCTCATCTATTTTGATGTATAAAGCGTATTAAATACCATATAAATCTGACCATAAACAGTGAAGATATTTAGCTCAAGTCAAGAGTTGAACACATATTGTTTGTGACATATTTTTATATTAACACAACTCGTAGTTGCCCACAGGGTATCTCGTAGTCTGTCACTCTCGGGTAAAGTACATTTACTTGTGTTTTTTTTACAATTTGTTGCTAATTCTTTATTTTTGTTACGGCAGTTACGAAAAAAAAAGTTCTAACAAATATTTTCGGCATCGGTTTTGCCGCATTCCATTGCGAAACTGCGGGGGCTCCGACGCGTCGCCTGTCAGTTGCCGACATAGGAAATTTGTGTGATTTATATCACAATTTACTCGCATTTGTTACTGGCGTTCAGTGGGCCCCATCCCATTGAATGCCTGCGTGCTCTTGTTATTGAATTAGATGCGGTGGAGGACCTACCTTACCTTAGTGCGAGTCCTAGTCCCAGTCTGTCGATGATAAATCAACGGGCTAACAAATTCTTAGCCTGCTTTTGCTTTGTTCTTACAAAACAACAACAACAACAACAACAAAATGGCACACGTGTCTTTGGGGGTAACAAAACTTAAGCCTTTTGTTTTTTTGGAATGGTACGCTGGTTTCAGTTATTTTTCTTTTCTCGAGAACCACTCGGTTTCATAAATTGCCATCTCTTTTGTTTTCAAACGTTTCGCTTGAGTTATTTTTAATTTCATGGGTGCAATTTCTCAGTGTCAGTTGTTTGAGAGCCTGTCACTGGCAGCAAAAGGGAAGAGTACCAAACAGAGAGAAAGAGAGCGAGAGAGAGAGAGAGAGAGAGAGAGTAATGATAGCTGGAGGTCGGAGAATATGGCACTCATTAGCTGCCCATTTTCCTTTGTTTTGTTCATAAATATTTCATTATAAAGCCTGCCCAAAAATCATGCCAAATGCTTGCTGTTTGCGTTAAATTGAATTAGAGCCGCGTCAGTAATTAAGTAAGCCTCTTGTCATACCCTTTCCCAGCTTAAATGGCATTGCACAAGCGCTATAAATTATGACTGACTGAGAGATTGATGACAAATGGCATAAGAGCTAATAGAAGTGATCTTTAACAGAAGTTATCTTTTGCGAGGAAAAGGGAACACATTCCACCCGAAAGCTTGGAAAATCAATTGGTTGTCCAAATGAAATGTGCGAAAATGTGCGAATTTTATCACTTACTCTGTCCGGGCATGTCTGAATTTATATATATCACTGAGCTGTTCAATCCAGACAACAGTATAGATAGAAACACAATAGATTTACCCCTAAGAAGTTATGGCTTAAGAAACATCAATCATCGCAACGACACATACAAATTTAAGTTAACCCCGACCACTTCAATAAGAGAAACAAAAATTTGAAATAAAATTTTCCACTGTTTATGGAAAGTTGCAAATTTTTGGAATCTTGAGTGGGCACAAAAAGATTTATGGCCAAGTAAGCAGGCTCGAAAGACATGTGAGCGCTGCAATTTACGGCTAAAAAACAACAAACGAAAGGCAAACAAATATAGTTTCTCGGTCGCATTTGGCTGACTGATTGTTTAAATGAGACGGCGTGCACTCAAACAAAATACAACAACAACAACAACAACAAATGTTTATTGATTTTATAGATGTGCACTTTGGGAGCTTATGTCCTTTTTGTGCCGCCGCCCATTGACATGCGTTTGATTGATTGGCCCACACTGGCCAAGGAGCAAGGACCAAGCACCAAGATGCTTGGTCTGGGACAGCAGCACTTACATAACTAACAAAACTTTAGGGTATCTGGAGAACAGTTTAGTTCGGTTTATTGCCCGCATATTTTGCACATTTTATGTGGCCCAAATGGATTTTACTTAGATAAATTGCGTGTAATTACCGTTGAAATGGAAAAAGAGGTACGTTCGAATAGTTTGGCAATTTTAAAAGCATGTGGACTTGCGACAAGTTGAAAGGGACCAGTTAAAAAATGCCCTGTGCAAACATAAAGAGAAGTTTAATTTCATAATAGCCAAAATATGGAATACGAACTATCTGTGCGTGCAATATGTGTGCGAAATGCCAAAGATCTTTTTGTTCCTATTAGTTATTGGCATATTTCTATTTCTTGGCAATATGATGTCTAATGAAGTTTAAAAAGGTCATTGAGAACAGTTTAATAAAATTTTATTTGACTATTAGACTGACAGATATACAATTTAGGTTAGTTGACTAATTATAGGATGGTGGATCATGCCAAGTGCAGAGACAGTGGGCAATCAGAAGGTAAATGGTGGCCGTCAACACCGTTGCCATCATTATGGGAAATCCGATGAGAAAGAAACCTTTAAAGGTTATTTGATAGCCATACTGATGGGCAATGCCGGCAGTTACAACGTTCGCGGAAGCGCCAATTAGTGTTCCATTGCCACCAAAACAAGCGCCAAATAAAAGGGACCAAACCAATGGTGGAAATGATAGACCAAGATCGTGATTGTTCGCCAGCTTGATAACCAGCTTAAGCATCATGGTTGTTATGGGTATGTTGTCCACAAAGGCGGATGTGAGGGCGCTCACCCAGATGATTAGCAGAATGCTCACCGCCAGCTGATGACTCTTGCCAACACTCATAATAATGCCGACAGTCAGTTCTCCCACCCAATCGATCACGCCCAGCTCAACTATTGACTCCATTAGCACAAAGAGTGCAGCAAAGAAGATTAGAGTGCCCCACTCGACACCCTCCAGCACAGCATCAATGTCCGGCTTATTGGCCAGGATCAGCAGAAGTATCGCCGCCAACATCGCAATCCAGCACAGTGTGGCACCTGCGAATACTGGCAGAGATTGCATAAAGAACATCAGAATGGCAAAGGTAAACGCAATGGTGCACTTGATTAGCAGAGGCTTATTCTTAATTTTGCAATTTGCCTTCATATCTGATAGTGTTTTCTGAAAGTCAACTTTCTCTGATTGGATATCCTGATTTTTTAAACGTTCCAGCAGCGCTTCAATACGCTTGGCCACATTTTTGGACATTTGGGTATCGGCGTTACCTAACCTATTTGCCTGTTTCTGAAGCTTATCTAAGGATGCACGCATCTCTGATGATAAATTACTGGTAAAGAGCTTTTCTCGTACCAAAAAATACAGAAGAAGGAATCCAAGTATCATGGACAGAATGACACCGGGAAACATGTGCAGTATAAAATTACCAAAATCCATGCCATGTGTCTGCGCATACGGATCGGTGGCAACAACCACATTGGGTGGATCCCCGACTGGGGTCAGTGTGCCACCAATATTGGCGAAGATCGCAATGCTAATTAGCACCACAGTGGTGCTCAATGCCAACGATTCACATAGACGTATCGTAACTGGCACCATTAACAATACCATCGTCACATTGTCCAGAAATGCGGAAAGAAAGCCCGTGAACATGCACAAATAGAATAGGAGCATCCAAACGTTACCCTTTGACATCTGATACGCATAGACGGACAAAAAATCAAAAACGCCCGTCTCGGCGAGCATGGAAACCATTATCATCATGGCAAAGAGTAGCATTAGGGTCTCCATATCGATCCACGAAATTATCGTACTCAGTTCCGGCTTAGCATCCAGCATGCTGAGCACTCCAATGGCAGCTGTTGCCACCAAGAGGGCAGCCAGTGTCCGATCCGTAATATCCCAAATAATAAGCACATAGAGGAAAATCAATAGCAATATTCCACACACGACGCCCACATTCGCATTCATCGGATTCGAGTTAATGGTCAGATATAATGCCATTGGGTCCTTATAAAGATTCAATAATGATACCTGAAGATTGCTGGAGTCGCTTCTCATCTGCGCGCTGCGTCCAAATAAATTGAATTGCCTGATATTGGAGCACCCCTCCAAGGTGAAATACTTCTTAACTTTGCCGACTCTTGGGCTGGGGGGATCGAACAGATAGACTTGCCACTCATCTGATTTCCAAGCGGACTTGTTTGCCGATTGATCAAACCTCTCCACTGTCACAATTATGCGGGGCTGAGTATCGGTTGCGATTTTTGGATTATTTGTGCAAGCCTCATCGACGGGACCTGATAATGTTATTGTGATTTGATCGCCATTCGGTTTTTCTCGTAGCCTTGACAGTTGCGCCTTTTGTGACTGTAGGGGCACAATCATATCATGTGGCTCGTGCGGTGTTGTCGTGATCATGAATATTGTAAAGTATAGCCAGAGGATTACAAATACTGTTATCTTGACAAACGTGCCCACACGCCTTAGAATGTAACGCCGATGAAGCTGCTCATCGTTGAGCTCTGTGTAATCATCTGTGTAGGAACGGCGGCCCGCCGTAACATGGCCCAAAGCAGCCATACGAAGCAAATATTAAGCTAAGAGAATATAAAAAAAAAGACAACTAAATATATCAGGCACCCAACCCAACCCAACTGGACCCCCACAGCCGCCTTTGGTTGGATTTTTACAGATATTTTTTAAGGATTTCCGAAAAAGAGGATAAATTTAACAACGACGAAAAAATAACATTTTATATTTTAATAGGAAGACCTTTTTAACACCCTCGAAGACATCTAGCATACATCTAAATTTTGACAGTTTATGAAAGTATGTTAGAAGCATAGTAATGCTGGGATATTATTAAGAAAAGATGTATGTAATTCTGACTGAAATTTCTATGCCAGATAGTTTATGATAAAGTGATCATCTGCATAGTTTTGTCCAGATGTCTGCAGAAGTGAGAGACAAGTCGTATTGATACAAACAAAAAAGAACATGGCCTAAGGTATTAATTATGTTTAGCGTCGAACTAGCAACCAACAGGTCACTCTATTCAATTTTAACTGGGCAATGCCGAGTAATATTTTTCAATACCGTTGTGTGTATACAAATTTATTTGCTAATATTATTATTTGTCGTATTAATGCTGTTATTTTTTATTATAACAATGAAAATAAAAATAATAATATAATAATAATAAAATTATTAGTGTTAATAACATCATTATTATTATTATTATTATTATTATTATTATTATTATTATTATTATTATTATTATTATTATTATTGTTATTATTATTATTATTATTATTATTATTATTATTATTATTATTATTATTATTATTATTATTATTATTATTATTATTATTATTATTATTATTATTATTATTATTATTATTATTATTATTATTATTATAATTATTATTATTATTATTATTATTATTATTATTATTAATATTAATATTATTATATTATTCCTAGATTGCTAAAACTATTCTATTTGTTCCCCCATTTGCTCTATGCTTCATAACAATTCACTTCATCGGAAAGCAAACTTTTCAGCCGCTGTGTTGCAAATCGAAACTGTGTCAACTTCATGTGTCATGCACAGCGAATTTTGTATGACAGACTTAGACATGACATCAACTAGGGCATAGCATCTCATGACCAGTGCCCATGTCAAAGTTATTCCAGCCACAAGTCAATTGGCCCTTGATGCCACTGCACTGGACAGGAGACAGGCAGTGGAAACCTGGCCCAACCGACACGTGTCGGACGCAAATGTTGTCTGCCACAGGATGGGGGAGGATGGGGCGTTGGATGTTGCAGTCTAAATGATGGAATTGGTGTTCAATTACTGCACAGTTCCGCGTATTTAAGTAATTTAACGCACCGGTGCTCCAGCAACATTTCTTGCCATTGGTAAACATCCAATTATTATTTATCAGCGAGTTTTTCGGGGCAGTTCCGTTTTCATCTTTAGACTTTTTCTCTTTGCTCTGCCACGCTTGCAACTTTCTGCGGCAATTTGATTTTGTCATTAAAAAGTTTTCAGCGATATAATAAAGTTTGTCAGCTAAGAGCCAAACCAAGAATGGGGCATCGAAAGTTTTTGCCAACCAGCCAGACAGCGGAACAGTGCGAGCGGCTGGCTCGTCATCTTTTCATTATATAATTCTTTTGAATGAACGTTTCGCTCAACTTCAGTTCAGTGCCATTTGCAAAGTCCGTGTGCGATGATCAGATAAAGTGAAGATACAATATCAGTTAGAATCATAATAGGAAAACCATATTTAAAGAACTCCAAAAAGGTAATTTTGTAGCCATACTGATTGGCAATGCCAGCTGCCACCACGTTGGAGGAGGCGGCAATCAGTGTGCCATTTCCGCCATAGCATACACCATACGAGAGCGCCCATATCAAGGGTAGCAAGGGCACTTTCAGGTCATCGTTGAGGGACAGCTTTATCACCAGCTTGAGCATCATGGTGACAATGGGTATATTATCGACAAAGGCTGAAAATATGGCGCTGATCCATAGCACAAGTAAAATGGCCGTGATGAGACGATGCTTCTCATCGACGCTCACAATAATCGCAATTGTGCGATCGCCCACCCAGTCGATGAGGCCCAGCTCTGCGCATGCTTCGATAAAGACAAATAGTGAGGCAAAAAACAGCAGAGTCGACCACTCGATGCTCTCCAGAACAGAAAAAATATTTCGCTTATTGGCCAAAATGAGTAGCAGCAGAGCCGACAAGAAAGCGGTCCAGGATAGCGTTGCACCGGCCAAAAATGGCAGCGAGTGCAGCATGAAGAGTAGCACGGCAAAGGTCAGGGCAATGCAGCATTTGATGAGCAGCGGTTTATCTTCCACTTTATATCGGGCCTGCATCTCGGCCAGTGTCTCGATAAAATTCGTTGTTGGCTGTGGACCAAACTGTGGGGCAGTCGCTTTGCGTCTATAACGTTCCTTTAGCTCTTCGATGCGTTCGAGTATCTCGCGACGCAGGTTCGCCTCGCTGGGTGTCTCCCGCAATACGGCCGCAGTTTTTGCCAGATTATTGATGGATTCGCGCATTTGATCGGCGCCGCCTTCTTGTAATCCTTTGCGCAAAACAAAATATATGTAGGCCCAAGCAGTGGCCAGGCTCAAAACAACGCCTGGCAGCATGTGCACAACGAAGGCGCAAAAGTCTGTGCCAGCGTCAAGAACATACCGATTCGATGCAATTATCACATTCGGCGGATCGCCAACGGGCGTGAGAGCACCGCCAATATTCGAGAATATGGCCACAATGACGAGCACAGTTGTGGTACGCAGGTCCATGCTTTCGCACAAACGTATCACAATGGGCACCATCAGCATCAGAATGGTGACATTGTCCAGAATGGCGGACATCACAACGGTCAGCATACAGAGCAGGAACAACAGCAGCCACGGCTGGCCCTTCGATAGACGATAGGCCCAGACAGATATATAGCCAAATATGCCGGTCTCCGCAATAACTGCCACCAAAATCATCATGCCAAACAGCAGCATCAGTGTGTCCATATCTATCCACGAAATGATCACATCCATTGTGGGTCGTTCACCCAGCACGCAAAGTACTCCGATGGCGGTCGTTGCCACAAACAGTGCGGCAAATGTACGATCCATAATATCCCAAATGATGAGCACATAGAGGAAGACAAGAAGCGCAGCGGCTGATAAGATGCCAACATTCTTGTTCAGCGGTTCGGTGTCAACGGTCAAAGCGACTGCAGTTGGCTCAGTGTTCTGATTCAAAAGTATCACCTGTAGTTGGACATCGGAAGCAGCACGCGTATGTACTGTACGCAGCTGTACTCCACGCATCTTGAAGTTCAGCATTTTGCCTTGCTTGTGCTCAAGTTCAAAGTACCTTTTTACCAATTCCATGGGCTTTGTGGCGCTATCGCACAAATAGACTTTCCATTCCTTTGAGCTCCATTCAGTTGTGTTCGACTTCGTATTAAAGGTTCGTACACTAACTAATATATATTTTTGTGATTCTGGTGCCATTTTGGGATTATTTGTGATATCCGCCTCGATGTTGCCTCTCACATAAACGCATATCTCATTACCTTCCGGTTCCTCATTGACCACCATAATATACGGTTTTTGGGACTCAACGTGTATCAGCTTACTGATATGTTCATTCGGTGGCGTGAGTAACATAAATACGGTAAAGAACAACCAAAATCCAATAAATGTCGCTAGCTTAAGAACTAGGTACACATAATGCAGAATTTTACGACGACGCAGTTGCTCTGGAGTTACATTACTTTCATCTTCGTTATGCAAATAGAATGAACGCCGTGCCTTGGCTGCATGAGGATTGTGGGTACTCATTTGAATTGAATGCCTTATTACCGCCAATCTAAATGATCGGGCCAGTAATTTATGATTCTACCTGGCGCCCAGCCTACCCCGCCATTGGATGCCTAACGGTATTCTTTCACGTGTGCAAGAGTTCTTAAAAAGCTGCGTTTCGTGTTCCCATATATATTCAAAAAAAAAAACAATTGTGTATTTTTTCATAATGTGTGTACGTCAAGTTTTTAAACCGAAATGGTTCGATTTAATTTTGAAATATACATATAATTGCATCTGTTGCTCAAATTGAACCTTTAATCAATAAAAAAAAAATTCAGCCCAACCTTAACCTAAAAGGGGCGCATACACCAAACCCTAAGGCAAGACGCTGGTTCGAACCGACAAGATTTTTGGATTACCTGGTTATTCGATTCTATAAATTTAATTTAATAAACTAAAACTGGCCAAATCTAGCCAAATTAATTGCCAGAAAAACCCTTAAGCTTAATCAGCTTTACAAACCGCATTAATTCGCACCTTGACCGAGTATTCGATTTCCTAGATTCTGGTTATCCAAACTAATATTGCCCCGCCGTTAAGTCTTTGGTATAATTGAATGTATGGTTTTTCTATCCGTCTTTCTGTCAACGCACGTAACTTAATTACATGTAGCTGGCGTTGGTTTATAATTGAATCATCGTGCGATAAGGACGAAACACAGTATGAGTTGTATTTCTATATACACGTACACATTCATATGTGTATGTTGCACCGTCAGGCATCCGCTGGCTCCGTTATGAATTACATTTCAATGTGCTTCAACGTGTTCATCATTTATTAAACCGGCTGTGCTCATGTTGAATGCTGAAATGCCAATAAAGTGAGCAGCAGGAGCAGGTCCTTGGCGAATTCCCCGCCTGCTGCTGCTGCTGCTGCTGCACAGGAAGCTCAAATGCTGTTGAGAGCGTTGCGCAGCGTCGATTGAAATTTCCGTTTGTCACATTTGCCTAAATGGAAATTTATGCAGCTGGCTCGCTTTTGATTCCCAGCCAGAACTGTCAGGTTAGCTGCCCGTTGTTCATCTGCCTGACTGTCTGGGTAGTTAATGCTTTATTCACGCTCGAATGCCTAATGAAAGAGTCATTACACTCATTCATTCGTTCATTCATTCGCGTTGTTCGTTGATTCATTCATGAGAACATGTGCATGGTTTTTTTCTCCTTGCCTTTAGACTTGCTTA